AATTTTTTTTTTTTTTTTTTTCATATGGTATCTGAGCCTCTGCAATCTTGGTAGTGGCTCAAATAGTTTTTGCTACCGGCTGGCGATGTTGGTCAGTGCGTGTCACTCGCCCGATAAATCTTTTCTTCTTCTTCCTTTCGGTGTCCCGCGCTGCTCGTCTCTTCGGTAGCCAGTGCTGCTATCTCTGGGCAAACGTCCAGGTATCACTTCTCTCCCCCTGCAACTATTCATGATCGCTCCTCTCTAGCAACCGTTCAGTCACCACTCCTCTCTCTAGGATTGTTCAAGCACGGTTCATCTCTCTGGCGACTGCTGCTGCTCCTTTTACGAGACTGACTCCCTCCTCCAAACTTTGAATTTCTTGTCATTGTTCTGCCAATTCGAGTTACGCTCTAGGGTTTTGGTGTTTTGCAACATCATACTTCACAACCAGCGACTTTCTGAAGGAAAGAATTCCATCACCTATTTTCTTTTTGGTGATTGTGCACTATTCCGTCGAGATGTTCGCATCAACTTTTTATATTTTAGAAATAAGCAAACTCAAGTTGATTTTCCCACTTTGAGTTTGAGGGGTCTATTAGAATACATGCATATATAGAGTGTACTTGAATAAATAAAATCTTATTGTATATTCTATATGATACCTTGGGATGTTACGTGTATAATTATAAAATATTTATTTTTCTTATTAGCAGAGATACTGATTACCTAGCATATCGTACTCGTCATAAGGCTCCTAAGAAGTACCTCCCATACATTGCTTCTGAATCAAGTCAATGAGAATTCTTTTCCTATTTCACAAGTCCAAAGTTCAGCATCATGTTCCTAATATTGTGGATACTCAATGGCGCATAATGAAATGATAGACATGCTCCCATTGATGTACATAGAAAATACCAAGTGATATCATATAAACTTAACTTTCCTGGAGCTTTAGAAACTCAAAAGGCAGATTAAAGAATTGTTTTCTTCCCCTCTTCAATATTGCCCTTATCGCCCCCTTCTACCTTAAATATTATGTGCTTTGAGAATTATCTCCACCCTCTCATGATTTGTTTCCATAAAGCAGTTTCATATGAAGTTAATATGGCATTAAACCTTGAGGTCCTTAACTACCAATTCCTTCATCTTCATATAGAAAGTGACCTGCTCTAATTATAACAATGTGGATAAATCTCTTCCTTTCCTTCTCACAGAAAATTCAGGAATTTGCAGCCTAAGGAAAAGGGGTCGGATAAATAACATAGTAAGCAAAATCATATGAAATAAAAAAGAGGGATTTCTCATCCATTTATTTTTGGTGTAAGCAAGAGTACATGGAAGATCCAGAATCTTTTGTTGATGTTCTAGGATCTTTGTAAGGACTAAAGAATCTTCCTGTACCACCCTCTGTAATTATGGTTAACTATACCTGTTTTGATACAGTCAATATATATGCAACAAATGTTACCTTCTCAAAAAAAAAAAAACATGAGGTAGGTTGATAAATTAGAGAGCACACTTTATTAGGATTATCTTTCCTTCTTCTAGATTCCTAGTGAACCTTATTTCCAACATCTACATAAAAGGGTTTCATTGTTTCATCTCCATGAGCGGCCCCTAGTGGTAGGCTCAAGTACGTAGCCTGAAGATCACTGACTTTTCATGTTAACACCCTTGTCATGTCCTCCACTTCCTGAATTTCTTCCATATGAAAGATAACACACTTTCAAACGCTAATCATCAACCCAGAGATTGCTTGAAACCATAACAACAAAACCCCTCTGATTGGGAAGTTGGTTCTTTGTCTCATCACACCAGGTTTCAGGCTTAAGACATTTGTCTTCACGAATTCTCTCGATCTTTCGCTTATGGTCGTATGTACGAGGAACTGGGGGAGAAAGGCGGGGAGAAGAAGTTATTCCGGCTGGCCAAGACGAGAGAGAGGAAGGCTCGGGATTTGGACCAAGTGAGATGCATCAAGGACGAAGATGGTAGAGTATTGATGGAAGATGCCCAGATTAAGAGGAGATGGCAGACTTACTTTTATAAACTTCTTAATGAAGGGAATCGAGATATTGTGCTAGGTGAACTGGAGCATCCCGAGAGTCACTGTGACTTTGGGTACTTAAGGCGTATCGAGGTTGAGGAGGTCGTGGGAGCTATGCGTAAGATGAGAAGGGGCAGAGCGAGCGGGCCGGACGAAATTCCAGTTGAATTTTGGAAGTGTGTGGGTAGAGCAGGCTTGGAGTGGCTGACGAGGCTGTTTAATGTTATTTTTAGGACGAAGAAGATAGCCAGATGAGTGGAGGTGGAGTACGGTGGTTCCGTTGTATAAGAACAAAAGTGCTATCCAGAGTTGTAACAATTATAGGGGTATCAAATTACTGAGCCATACCATGAAAGTTTGGGAGAGGGTAGTTGAAGAAAGGGTGAGGAGGTCGGTGTCTATATCCGACAACCAGTTTGGGTTCATACCGGGTCGTTCTACTACGGAAGCTATACACCTTACTAGAAGACTGGTGGAACAGTATAGGGAGAGGAAGAAGGATCTGCACATGGTGTTTATTGATCTGGAGAAAGCGTATGACAAGGTTCTTAGAAAAGTTCTCTGGAGATGCCTGGAGGCTAAAGGTGTGTCGGTTGCCTACATTAGGGCGATTAAGGACATGTATGATGGGGCTAAGACTTGGGTTAGGACAGTAGGAGGCGACTCTGCGCATTTCCCGGTTGTTATGGGATTGCACCAAGGTTCTATGCTCAGCCCGTTCTTATTTGCCTTGGTGATGGACGCGTTAACACATCATATTCAAGGGGAGGTGCCATGGTGTATGTTATTCGCTGATGACATAGTTCTGATTGATGAGTCGCGAGCAGGTGTTAACGAGAGGCTGGAGGCCTGGAGACAAGCTCTTGAGTCTAAGGGTTTTAAGCTGAGCAGGACAAAGACGGAATACCTGGAGTGCAAGTTAAGCGCTGAGTCGAGGGAAGTGGACGTGGATGTGAGGCTTGAATCACTGGTCATCCCGAGTAGAGGCAGTNATGAGGATGTTAAGGTGGATGTGCGGGCACACTAGGATGGATAAGATTAGGAATGATGATATTCAGGAGAAGGTGGGCGTGACTCCCATTGATAACAAGATGCGGGAAGTGAGGCTTAGATGGTTCGGGCACGTTTAGAGGAGAAGCCCAGACGCTCCGGTAAGGAGGTGTGAGCGGCTAAGTTGCTCCGACATGGCAGTTTAGGTGCCGCACCCGTGTCGACACGACACTAGTATGGGTGTGGGTATGGGATCCGTACCGGATCTGCTCAAACAATTGGGTGCTTTGACCACCGCGGACGAAAAAATTCGAGACGAGATACAACTTGTTTCCCGAAATCAAAACCAAAACTAGGGTAAATTTGAAGAAAATAACATATTCTATCTAGGAAATCAATCCTTTACTTATTTACAACTTGAAAATAAAAAAGAAATCCACACTTCACATACTATACGAGTATACGTACGTATTCCACGAAATTTCTCATAATTTAGAGATATTTTTATATTTTTGAATTACTTTTAGCTGGATCCCCGCACCCGTATCCGTACTAGGATCCATATCCCCGAATCTTAGAATTTACATCTCGAAGGATCCGATCTCTAGATCCGCACCCGTGTCGGATACCCGCACCCGTGTCCGAGCAACTTAGGCGTACACACTACCCTCCCCATACCCCACTAGTGGGATTTTACTGGGTCGTTGTTGTTGTTGTTTAGGTAGTTGAGATAATTTGATACATGATTGCGGTAAGGTATCCACATTATAAATACATTTTATACACAAGTATACCAAATGAATAACAATTGCTTACACAAGTATACCAAATGAATAACAATTTTTTTTGACTTATCAAATGAATAACAATTGCTTACATTTGAGTAATTTTTTTCCCCAGTTTTACCCCCCAATAGACTGGCTGGTTGGGTCATCTTTACCTTCAAGGTTCAGTCCAGACATTATTGAAGCAGTCCTAAATGAGCTCACACCACAAAATGTCAGGTGAATTAGCCTCCCTGTAGACAATTATATCTTTTTAACTTTTGTTTTTGCAAATGGGATACTCGCATTAATTAGCTTATGATGATAAATAATCTAAAGCATGATGATGTTAAAGTCTAACATGTACAATATACTTTTTGACTATGTCCATCGTTTTAATCAAGTTTTTGACTATGTCCATTGGATGACCTTGGAAGTCCAATGACTAATCCTGCTAGCTGTGGAATCAATTTTAACTGTCGTTCTTAGAAGTCAGGTTCTCATGACCTCTTTTGTAGATAATTGTTTTGCTTATAGTTCATGGACTTGGCTTTGGTTGGAATCATGGCTTTGACATGACAAGAAGCCAGTACAGTTAGGAATTCATATTGGATAGGGTCATAGTTGATTTGGCTGTTTCCTATGTTGCTCGGCCTCTTTAAAAATGCCGCCGGGTGCGTGTTAGATCCTCCAAAAGTAGTGCATTTTTTGGATTATTTGACGGGTGTGGCCACATTTTTGGAGGTCGGAGCAACATAGGGTATTTCTCCTTCAGGGAGCATAGAGAAAATGAAGAGACAGAAAAGATGACTGTTAAGGATAAGCAAGAAAGCCTGGTGATGCAGTTGTTTTTCCTCTCTCCTTTCTGTAGAACGAGGCACGATGGAAAATGTTGATTGGGTGAAGAGAAAGAGACTGGCCTATTCTCTTACTGCTGTTGGGCTGACATGAAATGTCTGCTGCTTTTCTAGTTCATAAGCTAAGCATCCCAGCAAGAGAAGAAACAAGTTACACTCATTTAACACCCCAAAAAAAAACAGAACACTTAATATGTCATTAAATATACAATTATTGGATTTTTTATTTATGAACCACTCATCTTAATGAAAATTGAGATCTTTTTGGGCTACCGATCTTTTACGTCATTACATATCATAAGACCATGGTGAAACATTTCCTAATCATAGCCTTATGCATATTTCCTCTGAATCCTTTGGCGGTTATCTGCATAATAGGGATAAATAAAAATGCAGAGATTGTGTGTTAGAACTTCCAGCTTAGTAAGATAGTGTGCTCAACATGTATCATTTGCAGAAATAGTATGTCACTGAATTATGATGGTGTCATATATCATTTCTCTGTGACTAAATCTTTGTGGATGAGCACCTCTTACATGAAAGTCTTTCCAACAGAATCTTTTGGGTTTCAACAAAATTTGACGGTCATACAGACTCAACGGAGCCTTGGTATGGAACTGCATATTCAGTAGAGAAAATAACAAGCTCCACGATTGAGGTACATTCTGGGTATCTGTAAATATTGGTGCTTTTGATTTGATGAAGATTGGTATTGCAGTATTGCTTCAGCCAACATTGACTAGAATGGTGACACTGCTCTGATTGTTACAGCAATGGATGGAGAAGGCTCCTGATGGAAATTTGCATCTACCTGTACCTAATATGTTTGTTCCTACCGATTTGTCCATTAAAACTGTCTCGAACAAGGTATTACTAACAACAAAACCTCATTTCACACTCTTTCACTTTACTAAATTCCTTAAATGTTTTGCCCTTCGATACAGATGAATTTTCCAGTGCTGTTAAGGAAATCCCCTTATTCAAGGTTATGGTACAAGCCGGATACATTATTCTCCATGCCAAAGGGATACATTATAATAGATTTCAGCTGTCCCCAATCTAGAAGTTCTCCTGAATCAATTGTTCTTACCTCCATTTTCATACAGCTGCTGATGGACTATCTAAATGAATATGGCAAGTATCAAAGACTAAGATATCATGTTTCTATATACATATACCTTTATTGCAAATATGCATGGACATTTTGACAGTTGAAATATTGATCATTTAAATTGCTGGATAATTCTGTCCCTAGTTATATTCTTTACTTTAACTATTAGTTCATCTGATGGTGCATGTTTGGTGTCTGCTTAACTCTGCTGTAATCTACCTTGCATTTTTTCAGCCTACTATGCCGAGATCGCCGGTCTCGGTTATTGGATAAGTAGTCACTATAATGGTTTCCAGGTATTTATCTTGTACGCGCATTATCATCATGAATGGAATTCTCCAAACATTAAATACAAGTTACCAAAAATTAATCTACACAGCTCCCTCTCTCTCTCCCCCTAACTTATGTGTTTTCAAATTTTAAAGAAAAACTAAATTTTTTGGTTGGATTATTATAAGGTTTTTTACTAGTAGTTGTACCCGCGCGATGCGCGGTCAATATTAATTAAATTAAATTGTGATCGGGCTTATTTGACCATATTAGATCGTATTGCTTTAATAAATTTTAATTGTCATCTTATTTGTCAATATGATATATCCAATAATAAAATATCTATTAAATTAAAGGGACTTATATAGTCATTGAATAATTTTTCTGCCACGCGATGCGCAGTCACTATTAAAAAATATTAATTAAATTAAATTGTGATCGGGTTTGTTTGAACATATTAGATTGTATTGCTTTAATAAATTTTAATTGTCATCTTGTTTGTCAATATGATATACCAATAACAAAATCTCTATTAAATTGAAGGGACTTATATAGTCATTGAATAACTTTTTTATTCTATATTTTTCTTTATTCTATTATCCAATGTTTAGTATTTTTACATTGTTGATAGAAATTTTTTATTAGCATATTATTTTGCTTTATATTTTTGTTTGCTCGCTTTCTTTTTGTAATATAATAGAAGATATATATGTTTTAATAATCTTGAAATATTTTTTATTTTATATTAGCATATTATTTAATAATTTTGTCTACTACTTTCTTTTTATAATATAATAGAAGACATATATTTTATTACTCTTGAAATATTTTTTTATTTAAAATTTATCCTATTGTTTTCAATAATATTATCTGAATTTTAATGAATAAAATCTCTATTAAATTAATGAGACTTATATAGGCATCGAATAATAGGCTTGTTCGGTATTTTTCTTTATTATATTATCCAATATTTAGTATTATTGCATTGTTAATAGAAACTTTAATTAGCATATTACTTTATTTAAATTTTTGTATGCTACTTTCTTTTTATAATATAACAGAAGATATATTTTTTTATTTTATATTTTATTCTATTATTATCAATAATATTTTCTGAATAAATAAATTTTTATTTTTAAAAATAAAAACAAAAATTATTAAAAAAAAAAATGATTTAAAAACTCTAACTTGAAAGTACTCTCCAATAAGTACTCTCCAATTTGAATGGATAGATTTTTTTAAATTTTCGTTTTTTATTATAAAATATTATATTTTATAGATATGTAAATTCAAAAACAATAAGCAATAACTAATTATTAACTAAATAACTAATTATTAACTACTTATGCCATGTGGCTTTTTTCTAGGCTGCCACTTGGCTTAAGAAGGGAGCTTTTTCCTCTCCTTTTAATAATATATAGATTCTTGGTTGCACTTTGGGAAAGCATCATATGCTCATTCGGCTTCTTAAATTATTGTCATTTTTTCCTATTCCATGTGTGCAATCACTTTTAGGACATTGTAATAATTGTACGCTCCCACTTTGATTTGCTTCCCTTTCAGGTGACTATGACTGGATATAATCATAAAATAAGGGTCTTACTGGAAAAAGTTATTGATAAGATTACCAATTTCAAAGTTGAACCTGACCGATTCTTTGTTATCAAGGTAAGGGGTCTATTTTCATCCCTTACGGATCTTTCAAGTCTTTTTATTGTTCAACCTGATTCAAATTCTGAAGACTAGATCGTTTTATGGTAATCCTTGCATCTAATTTTATCTGAATTAAATTGCTCCTGTAGGGAATTAGCTAGTGTGTTATGTTATGTGATCTAGGCCTGCTAAAAATAGTGTGGCACATTTTTATTGATTATTGGGATATAGGCCTGCTTAAAATAGTGTAAGAACTTTTCTCATTTCATTTGAGGGACTTGAACTCTGTTAGGAACTTTCATGTTCATGTTATCCGGTTGGGCATATTTTCTTTGTTTTCTTCACTCGTTATGAGCATTCAGCTTGTATAGTCAACACCTACATCAAAGAGTGCGTTTTTGGCTGGCTTGGTGCATTTATGCCTCAGACGATACTGAGTGCATCTTTGGCTGGTTTGCCAGAAACTATTCTCCGTTTAATCAGTTGTATCTTTGAATATTAAAGAAATACCTAGCTGGAGCTATATTTAGCTTTAGTTCTGATGTGTGACTGCAGCATGAATGATTGAGTCGCTACGTTCTTCAGTCAGCATTGCTTCCAATGTTTTAGCATCTTGTCAAGACAAAAGACTTCCACGATTTTAGAAACTGACTTCTGTCCTCTTCTTGATAAATTCGATGTGGTCTAAAACTTGTGACTACTATATTTTTCAGTCTCTTTGCAGCTATATTTACTTCTACAGTTAGGTATTCAAAAACACTAAAAACTAAATGAGATGGCTTGAAAACTTGTTGTGTTTTGTGCCGAGTTCAATTTTTGGTTAAAAAGCATATGGTGCTGAAGCTCTTATGTTTTTAATTGTTCCAGATGCTTAGCTTGACGTGGTTTAGTTAATAATGTAGTAACAATTGAACAATCATTGTGATTGCAGTTTGCTGACATTTTGAATCCAAAGCTGTAGACTGATAGTTCCTTCTCTTGGACTGTTTTTATCTTATGACAGGAATTGTTCACAAAGCAATATCAAAATTTCAAGTTTCAACAGCCATACGAACAAGCGTTGTACTACTGTTCATTAATACTTCGGGAACACGCATGGTCATGGAAAGATGAACTTGAAGTCCTTCCTAATCTTGAAGTTGATGACCTTGTTAAGTTTTACCCTCTGTTGCTATCAAGGACGTTTCTGGAGTGCTACATAGCAGGTTCGTTTTTCTTTCCTACTAGATTTTTCTAGGATATTTGCCAGTTTAGCATATTCACCCTTTTAATCACCCCTTTTCAGGAAACATCGACTCAAAGGAAGCAATCTCAATGATCCAGCACATTGAAGATACCTTTTACAAGGGTGCCCAGCCTCTATCTCGGGCCCTATTTGTGTCTGAGCATCCGTCAAGTAGAATTATAAAGCTTGAAGAGAGCACGAATTACTTCTATGCTGCAGAGGGCCTAAATACCTCTGACGAAAATTCTGCTCTTGTCCATTACATTCAGGTACATCTGAAGTTACAACTTTTGTTTCTCTCCTCCTTTTGTTCGTTTTTTCTAATGATATTTTGTAGCAGTTACATCATATATATGATTGGATGCCTCATGAGCAAACTCGTTTTTCTGTGCACAACTTTGCACTTCTTGTTTACCCCTTATATATGGGTTGTTCCTTTTGTTTAGCAGTAAACTCCTTGTCCGCAGTAAGTGTTGTTAGAACAGTCAAAGAGAATTAGCAAAAATTGAATGATCAAAACTAGTAGGAGTTTGTTTAAGAAATTATGTACCTAAAGTGTTCAAAATCATGAAACCAGTTAATCTGGCCATTCTATTGACTTGTGGCTAGACAAATAATTTGTATGTACTTAAGAAGAAGCTGTCAGAAAAGCTTATAACGAACAAAGTGCGAAACTTTCCAATTGAGCAACCTTAATCTTCTCGATATCTTACCTTTGTAAGTTGGCTTTTTATGAGTTTTACCATTTTTCTTTCTTCCTGCTAATACAGTTTATCTTATTCTATGTTTGAAGACGCATCCAGATGAATACATCAAAAATGTAAAACGACAACTATTTGTTCTCATAGCTAAGCAACCAGCTTTCGACCAGCTTAGATCTGTTGAGCAGCTTGGTTATATTACATCACTTTCACGGACGTAAGCCAACTCTTCTCTTTTAAATTCTCTATGAATGTATTTGCTCTTGGGAAATAGGCAGTATGTCTATTTAATTTTCTTCACTGCTGAAGGCAAGTTAATGTTGCTAAACTGTAGGAGTGATGCTGGTATTTGCGGAATGCAGCTTATAGTTCAATCCTCAGTCAAGGTAAATACATTACATCATCTCTATGTAAGCCAACAAATGAAAGATTATAAAAATCCTTTATGCTTTCAATATGAGACACTAATGATGAACCATGATACAGGATCCAAGATATATCGAGTTGCGATTCCAGGCATTTCTCAAGATGTTGGAAAGTCAGCTTCATGACATGTCAGATGATGAGTTTAAGGTCAAATATTGAATCTCCTTTAAGATTTGCTTCTTGAATTGGTATCATTGTGAAGGTTTGAATCCCAGGGAAGGAAAAAAGAAGAAAAAAAAGGATAAGCCTAGGTAGGTAGATTTACCGGATACTAATGCCGGTACCAGTGGAATAGTCTGGTTGCCCACAAGTTGGGCTGGACTTCACAGTTACTAAAAGATCGTCAACAACAACAACACAATGGCATCATTGTGACAACTCTCAGAAAAGTAATATTTTGAGAAATAGCTACAGGGAAATGACTTGAGATAAGCATCATGTAGTACTTAGAAAATGATTAGTCAGTGTGGCTGTGGCTGCATACATAAGTTTCTTTAAATGCATTTCTTCTATTAGTATCTTTGGAATAAACCCATCAGTAACAAATCAATAAAGTCAAGATCAACTGATCACTTGAATACATTTTTTAGCTTGATGTGCGGCTCATTAATTATTTCTATTTGTCTGCAATATTAAGAGCCCGTTTGGACATAAGAATTTTTTTTCTTTTTCTCAAAATAATTTCTTTTTTTTCGAAATCAGCGTTTGTTCATAAAATTTTCAATTTTCACTTGAAGATACATTTTGGAAATTTTCAAAAATTTGAAAAACTCCAAAAAGCTGTTTTTCAAAATTTTCACTCAAATCACCCACAAAACTTCAAAAACAACCCAAAATTATATTTATGTCCAAACACAACTCTAAATTTCAAATACCATTTTCACTTGAAAAAATTTTCCCCCTACTTTGGAATTTTACAATTCTTATGTCCAAACGCCCACTAAATATCACAGTTGCCTCGCCTACTGAGATTTTGGTCTTTTTTATATGATGCAGAGAAAAGTCAATGCTCTTATTGATATTAAGCTCGAGAAGTTTAAAAATTTATCAGAGGAAACTAATTATTTCTGGTGGGAAATTTCTGGTGGCACACTCAGATTTGATAGAATTGAAAATGAGGTATGAACTTTCTTTTGCCACATCAAGCCAGTTATTTCTCTGAATTGAATTGATAGCTAAAAGGAGATTATCCTATGCACTCTTTCCATTCCAATTTAAATTTATGTCACATTATTTCCTTATTTGTCCATTCCAAAAAGAATGATACTCTTCTATATTTGGAAACAATTTAACTTTAAACTTCCCGTGATTTTACCATTAATGAGAAGATTTTATAGCCACACAAATGTTATGGTATGCTTAAGACCACAAGTTTCAAAAGTCTTCTAGCCACACAATGTTATGCAATGTTTACGACCACAAGTTTCAAAAAATCTTAATTTTTTTTCTTAAATTCTGTGCCGAGTCAAACCAACAACAACAACAAACCCATTGTAATCCCACAAGTGGGGTATGAGAAGGGTAGTGTGTACGCAGACCTTACCCTACCTTGAAGGTATAGAGGCTGTTTCCGATAGACCCTCGGCTCACGAGAGACGAAAAGAAAAGCAGTAGCACCAAGCATTAACAACAACAAGATAGTAAGAAAACGAAACGAAAAGAACAACAAGTAATAATAGAAATCTAACAATAATGGAATACATGACTTAACACTAATACTCTATACTACCTGCTAGCCTTCTATCTTGATTCTCGACATCCGCACCTTTCTATCAAGGATCATGTCCTCCGTAAGCTGAAGCAACGCTATATTCTGCCTAATCACCTCTCCCCAATAGTCTTTGGCCTACCTTTACCTCTTCTCATCCCTACTAGAGCCAACCTTTTACACCTTCTTATTGGGGCATCTGCGTTTCTGCTCTTCACCTGCCCAAACCATCTAAGCCTAGCTTCCCGTATCTTGTCCTCCCTCGGGGACACTCCCACTTTGGCCCGAATATCTTCGGTCCTAATCTTATCCATCCTGGTATACCCACTTCGTGCCGAGTCAAACCATATCATATAGATTGGAACAAGGGATTATTTCCTTATTTTCC